CAGCATTTATGTTTTGGGATCTTTGTTACCACAGAAGGCTTCGTGCTGTCAGTGATCGCCTCCTCATAAGCTCCATGCAGCATACAATCATGTCAACTGGACTTCCATGCATCATTTTTGGAAGAGTATTTTTATTTATCTATTTTTCCATATAGTCCCCACAAATTCCTTGAGCTAATTCTGGAAGTGAGCTGTGTCAAGTAGAGGATCATCAGGTGTTCCATGGACTAGAAATAATTACACAAACTAACCATTAAGGAATTTCTTTCACTTTTTAACTTTGACTTTTGTTATTTGCTACATATTCCTTAGATATTTTTGGAAATGTTTACTAAGTCCATTTCGATAATGTTTTACATACAAATGGAGGCACATTAAAATGCTGACCACTCATAGAACCCAAATTATCCAATGTCAAGTTGAGATTTTGTAAACAAAAACATATTACCCATAACTACAGCCCCTCATATGTTTTATGACATTTCTTTTCCTCTGTCCTATATCTCTTAATTCCTTTTTACCTTCCTACAGTTTTTTTCTGGACAATAAGCTACTGTATATGTAACTTATCCAAAGCTAAAGGTACTACTTCCTCTGACAATGAGACCCCCAATTGCTTTTATGTTATGGGGCTTTCAGGTCAACCTCACATAATATGTTCCTTGAGATCACTTTTTTCATAAGTTTTATTTTCATTCAGATTAGCAAGGAAAGTTACGGAACCTCTGCTGTACCATACGGTTGCAGCACACTCAGCAAATCACGTGTCAGTTAATATTACCACTTTATTTTAACAGATTTTCCAAGCCAAAGTACCCTCTTTTCTAAGATCATACATTTATAGACCAGGAGAGTCAGTAGAGACAGTTTTCATTAGACTTCAGTTTCTGTCTAGTTTGTGGACACCATTATAACCCAGCAACGAAGGTCAGGTCCTCACCAGCTTGGGTTTCCAGTTACCAGTGTGAAAGCCTAAGTCTGACCTGTAAGTCAGACAGCTTTGCAAATGACACATCGGCCAATCCTCCCCTCCTGAGGGCTTGCTGTGCATGTTTTAATTCATCAGTTTTGTGGTAGTTGCAGGACAATTGCACATTTCCTCATCAGCTTTACAAGCAGACTGTGCAACACAGCCATGTTTCCTGGAGGAGAGATCTCTCTCTGGTCTCTGTCTCTGTCTGGGCAGACATGCTCTTCCTACGATAGTGAACCTCCAGGAAAACCCTTCGGATGGAGCTGGCATAAGAAGCCTGGCCCCTAAGGGCCTCGCGCCTCTCTTAGACTGTTGTGGCCAGTCAGCTTAGCCACTGTAAGTGTTGTTGCCACTGCGTATTTGCAGAAAGGAGCGAACTCAATTTTAATCACGCACTCCAAGGCATTACATCATACCAGAGATTATTAGTGGTGTATATTCAATGGCATACGATTCAAGGCTTCCTATAGTGGATAGTATTTATTTTTTTGTTTTATGTGAACACAAACTGATACAAGTCAAGGCTTCCCATAACTGGATATGCATTACTATGCAAAACACACAAGTTTGTAAGACTTCATACAAAATATTTTAAT